GCGCTCAATATCGGAGATGGAGCTAACATATTTGGTTAGAATGATGTGAGTTTGTGACCCTGGGTTTCACGCTTTTGCGATCGTAAGACAAATCGATCATTTATGTAGATTGCGTGTATTGATGTTATTATGGAAGTGTGGGGAATCGTCGTCGTGAATTTAAAACATAGATGCTTCTCCGTACACCCAGTGAGGTACGTAGTCACACATACACACGCACTCGCCCGCCGGGGCTCATACAAACATAAACATATGTGGACAGTATGAGACTTGACATATGCATTTATATGTGTACTGTTGTCTACATACATACGCATTTGGTTGCTGAAATTCAAAGATGGGATGAGTAGCGAATATTTCTCTTGAATGTATACATGTCAACAATCAGAGCATTCTTCTATTCTTTCGCTGAATAATATTTCTTCACACGCACGTATATACGTGTTGTGGGGTATGTGTAAAATTATGATAGGTAAAAATTGCTATTATTTTTAATTTTTTAAGGCTGATTTGTTATTATTTTAAAGCTGGTTATTTGCTTGTTTTTGATGAGTGTGTATATGTAACTGGTAGAAATTGCAGTCTGTAATCCTTATTGGTTTTTATTTGGTGGTATTAAATATGCTGTGGGGAGTAATTTATGTTAATAATTATGGAGGATTGATATGATAATAGATGTGATGTGGTAGATGTCGTAGTTTTCCAAGCTTAAGATTCATGATGAAATCGATCATAAACGAAAAATGACATGTTCATCCTTAGCTAATGATCGAAAGCTCGTGAAGGATTTAAATGAAGTTCAAATTATATATATAATTATTTCATGTTATTTATTTTATACGTTAGATTTTTTTTTAATTAGATTTAATTCAAGACCATATGTTTTTGCTATTTTTTTTCAATAGACTTATTTTAAACTTATTCATATTTTTACATCTGTTCCACTTTTACCGGTACCTTCATTGCCTAAATTCTACCCGAGATACATCAATTGTTGCTACGGCTGCAGTACTTGTATCCCGAACTCCACGGATGACCATAACAGTTTAAGGATCCCGGCTTCCATGATTATTTTCATTTCTCGTATTTGCAGGTTTTAAATGTAGACGTGAAAATAGATCCACCGAATTTTTTTTTTTTTTTTTTAATAAACTGCTAGCGTATTTTTCTTTGTTTCTTTGATCAGTCTTTCTAATTCAATTCTGGAGAGTCTTTGTGAAACCGAGTATTTTTCGACTTTTCTTATCTTCTCAATACCTATTTGACGGATATTTTTATACATTCAGGTTAGAAAATGCTCGCAAAATTCTTGGCTTCAGTTAATGGCACTCAGCCGAAAACGTATATGGCAGTTAGGAGGTCGCTTGTCGAAAACATATATGGCAGTTAGGAGGTCGCTTTCAGCTTTTACACGCAGAGACATATTTCATCATTATTGAATGATTTTTTTCATATTTGGCATCAAGTAAATATATATAAAAAAAAAACTGTGATTTTTTTTCCTCTCCGTCAGCCAAAACAAAGATTTGGGAAAGCAGTTCTGAGAAGCAGTGTCGGGTTGAAAGAGAAGATAATAAGAGACATTCAGCAATCGATATAGTTATTCTCCTTCACAGAGTCGGCATAAATATGCATAGAAAGAGAAAGAAGTATGTTGATGGAAGCTTATATCTCTCTTTCATATATATATATATATATATATAGAGAGAGAGAGACATTTTGAAATATCACTAATCTAAAACAGTTCTATAAATGAGTAAGCATAATAAAATTGCTTTTTCGTTTATGTATAAAATTTGTTATGGAGAGGAAGAGTACTCAGTATCGGAGATAGAATTTTTGTAGCTATAGACACGTACTGCTGTGAGCTATGTCGATTGTGTTTACGTACACACACACACACACACATATATATATATATATATATATATATATATATATATATATATATACCCTGTCCAAGGGTTCTTTTTATCAGAGCACTTTCGGCTGTACATATACATAGCTCAATTAGGTCTCATTTAAATACTCATAGAGACCTACCGGACCCTATTCCTAATGTACTTGTTGACCCCACAAATATAATAGCATCATCTATATGCAAAAAAAGGCTAAAAATAATGGAAGCCTTATTTATAAAAACAAAAAAAATAACACCCAATATAAATATGGCACAGTGTTTTGAAAATGAAAAAAAAAATTATACAAATACATAATACAACAGACTATTTCTTGTTAGCAATTAATATATTTCAACCTTGAAAATAGCTAAATGTATAGCCGAAAGCGGTCAGCTAAAAAGAACAATTGGGCAGCTTTTATGTAATTTATCACCCAAAAAGAAAACAATTATTAAATTGAATGAAGGCACCTTGTTTGTCTCGTATTCAGTGAAATGCGCGTGTGTTATATATATATATATATATATATATATATATATATATATATATATATATATATATATATATATATATGGATATATATATATATATATTGAAGAGGATGGAGGCACGCTGGAGTAATGGATAGCGGCTTGGATTGAGGAATCGCAGAGCCGAGTTCGAATTCCAGTCGAATCCATTACATTCACTTACGTGAATACCCTTGGGAAAGGTATGAATCCTCTTCCTCTCCCTCCAGCTATGGGTAAAATAGCAGGACAGACTGGGTTCTATAGCCTTGGATGGCAACTGGTCTAGGAGAAGTACAACTCTGAATTCAAAACCTGCGGTGGGTCGTTTGGGAACCTTGTGGCATTTGGTGCACCTGGTCTCTGTTTTCGTCCCTTCAAAAAGTGTGGATGGTCCTTCACCACTATAATCAAATCTGTTGGGCTATCGGTTACCTGGAAAATGATCTGCTTGACCCTCATACGTCGAATCTCGACGGGAGAAGCTAAAGAACCCAAGCCGACATAGAAGAATTGGATTCATGCCTTTCTCAAGAGTATTTGTGCGAAGGAATTTGAACTTCGCATGACCCATCTAGCTCATCAATATGCGACATAAGCAGCCATCTATCCGCACAATATATATATATATATATATATATATATATATATATATATATATGCGCGTGCCAGGGTGTGCTGAATATTTCTAGTTCATAAAAAAATTTCCAAATTCATACTAATTTAACAAACATAAGTTTTTTGCTGCTAGGGGCTTCTTAGTTGAGACGAGAATTTTTCAAAATCCACGTGAATATAATAGATGTGTGTGTGTGTGTAGTTATTCATTGCTTTGCTAAGGGGATATACATACAGTGGTCTAAGAAAAGTTTTTAGCCAGGAGAAATAGACTACATCCAATTTCAAAATTTAATTACGTAATCCCTATTCAACATAAATAAACAGTATTTGGAACTAGTATATAGTAGGTCTTCCATTTGCTAGTTTCAGTGTTTGTATTCGTTTCTTCATAGATTTGATTAAGTTCTCAACAATCGTCTGATCCATATTTTGCCGCCCGTTTAACAATGTTTCTTTAAGGGTTGCCACTGACGTGATTTTGGTTGCACGCTCTCGAAGTTTTCGGTGAAGGTGCTCCCAAACGTCATCTATTAGATCCATATCAGAACTTTGGGCTACCCATCGTAGTAAATTGATTCCTCGCGATTCCTTCCAGGCCTTTGCTACTTTATTCGCATGATATGGCGCTCCATCTTCTTGATAAAGATAAATATTCTTGTCAATGTTATTGTTCTCAAGTAGTGGGAGAAGTTCTTTCTCTAATATTTGGCAGCATTTTGGACCATTGAACCACTCATCAACAAGAATTAGCTCAGATTTCTATCCAAACCAGATAGTGCCCACACCATTACTCCAATCCCTCCATGTTTCACCGTCGCCTGCAGACATTCAGTGTTCCAGGTCTCATTCTGATTTCTCCAAACAAACTTGCATTAGAATACTGGCAGAATTTACTTTCATCTGTCCAAATTACGGACTGCCAAAATTCATAATCTTTGCTCTCGAATTCTTTCCCCCAGTCCATACGCCTGTTCCTATTAACTACTGAAATCAAGGGCTTCTTTCTTGCTACACTTCTTTGTTAGCCTAGCTCTTTCAGAGTCATTCACACCGCATATGGCGACATTTCCATGCCGTTGGCAACATCTTTGACGCTTTAAAGACGGTTTCTGATGATTTCCATCTTCAGCGGCCTTTTCGTTCACCCAGACACAATGCTTGGTCTTCCTGAATATTGTTCCACACGACAATGGCCTTCTTGATTAAATTTCTTGACAATATTATTAACCGTTTAATGATTAACCTTGAAAAATCCAGAAATTTCTCTATTTTTCTTGTCAGACTGATGTCATCCTGTTATTTGCCCTCGTTGAGATTGACGAATTTTCTTTCTTTCGCGAACTTTCCTTTCAAAAAATAAGTCAACTATCGTTCATAGAGTAGAGTAGCTTAATTCTAACACAGTATTGTCTAAAAAAAAACAAGATACGTCATTACACAAGCCAAAATTGCTGTAATTAAGGGTGGCTAAAAACTTATCATAGCCCACTGTACTCATTGCAAATCTAATATGTTTGCTCGCTGTTCAGATTGTACTGGCGTTTTGACTCGACGTGATTGCATCACCACTTTTTAAAAAAGTAAGCTTAAGTTACTGTGGCACAAAGTTAACTCTGTTAGACGCCTAACAATGATATAACGAAAAAAGTTCTAAGGGTTGTTAAGATCTTTCTCTTTCGTTTGTTGTGCGAACGACCCCATCAGAACCTAGAGAGTTCCACTTGGTTAACGGTTTGTGGGGCAAAAGAATCCCACGATGAGTGCGGCTAATTTGTACATCGGTAACTATAAAAAAATCAATTTTCAATTTCTATGGTTAAACTGAAGAATGTTTTACCGAACTAATCTAATTTTGGTATTAAAAAGTTTTAGCACACTAATCAAAAACGCATTTATCCAGAGATGCCTGTATGGTAAAAAGTTAGGGGGTGGGGGAAATGAAACGGCTAAAAATGGCTTTCAGCAAACGATGCATGTGGATCTTGTCGAAGACTCACCTTCTTTGAACATTGTGAATCTCTTCTTTCTTTCTCTCTGTCTCTTCTTTCTTTCTCCCTGCCTCTTCTTTTCTTTCTCCCTGCCTCTTCTTTTCTTTCTCCCTGTCTCTCTTTTCTTTCTCCTCGTCTCTTCTTTCTTTCTCCCTGTCTCTCTTTTCTTTCTCCTCGCCTCTCTTTTCTTTCTCCTCGCCTCTCTTTTCTTTCTCCCTGTCTCTCTTTTCTTTCTCCTCGTCTCTCTTTTCTTTCTTTCTCCCTGTCTCTTCTTTCTTTCTCCCTGTCTCTCTTTTCTTTCTCCTCGCCTCTCTTTTCTTTCTCCTCGCCTCTCTTTTCTTTCTCCCTGTCTCTCTTTTCTTTCTCCCTGTCTCTTCTTTTCTTTCTCCCTGTCTCTTCTTTTCTTTCTCCCTGTCTCTTCTTTTCTTTCTCCCTGTCTCTTCTTTCTTTCTCCTCGCCTCTCTTTTCTTTCTCCCTCGCCTCTCCTTTCTTTCTCCTTGCCTCTTCTTTCTTTCTCCCTGTCTCTCTTTTCTTTCTCCTCGCCTCTCCTTTCTTTCTCCTTGCCTCTCCTTTCTTTCTCCTTGCCTCTCCTTTCTTTCTCCCTGTCTCTTCTTTTCTTTCTCCTCGCCTCTCTTTTCTTTCTCCTCGCCTCTCCTTTCTTTCTCCTTGCCTCTCCTTTCTTTCTCCTTGCCTCTCCTTTCTTTCTCCCTGTCTCTTCTTTTCTTTCTCCACGTCTCTCCTTTCTTCTTCCTCTCTCTTCTATAAAATCACAAAGAACTGTACCAAATAATAAACCACAACACTGGAGGACTATCATCATCAACAACAACAAAATGGATATCGCATTAACCCAAAGAGGACCTAATGACATAATCAAGATGTTAAGATTCCACACAACTTCAAAGAAAAGGTTAGGAAGGAAACATCTCTCACTCTTGTAATGTTTAATAAAAGCTACTGAACTTGAGACACCTGTTTTCCTGAAAAAATATTTTAAGATTTTATAAATTTCAACGGACAGCGGTACTGGCTGCACGTTCAATTAATTTTGGATGTTTCCTTATAAGGAAATGGCTAATATTACACTTGTCCCTCTTCATGTTCTGACCTCCTGATCCAGTTTTTCTTTCTCTTGTTCGCGCTTTTATTAAACTTATTCACCGCTCTCTTGATGGTTCTTGACCTTTTTCCTATTGCTCATTTGAAAAGACTGTAGGTCTGACACAAAAGGATTTTAATCTGTTTTATTTCTAGCTGAAAGGGTTTTTCAGTGATTCTTACGACAAATGGCGGGAAGATGGCTAAACGTCTTATATAAAAACCTGAATAAAACGAAACTCAATTGTTTTTTTTTATGTTTCTTTATAAGGAAATGGTTAATATTACACTAATCCCTCTTCCTGTTGTGACCTGTTGATCCAGTTTTCTTGTCTATTGTTCCCTCTTTTTGAAATGGCTAATATTGCACTTATCACAGCATCAGATCACTGGAGACATATCTTCCAATAATTGTTTTTTGAAGAATGAGTTGACTGCTTCCTGATGTTACTGGTAGACAAGTTTTCCAGACAAGATAATTTAGATAATTTTGAAAGTTAACACACCTTCCCTATCTGAAATAAACACCGCACAGCGATTCAAACTAAAATCTTTCCATTTCGCCTTGCGCTAGATAAAAAGCAACCCTTAATAAATATCACAAAACCAGTACTTAAGATTTTGAGTTGCGTGGTTTACTCTAATAAACGTACGAACTTTCGACATTTATTATCCTCCTATTCGATGTGGTAGGAGTAGGAGCTGAAACGGTCTTGGCCGCTAATATTTCAGCCCCGCACTATGCACTGTTTTAGATAAATATTTTGAAATATTTAAAAAAATGAGTAGTATTAGTACTGACTTTTAACGATAGTAAGACTTTGGGATCTTCGCGGAGTATAATCTTCCCACACTAATTTTAAATTAGTCAACAATTCAAGTAAATCTTAGTAGATATGAAGGAATTTTGATTAAGAATACTGATTAATTTGTAAGCAGTGACTCACCCTAACTGGAAGATTGGTGCAAGATAATCTTCTTGTGTATAATTTCCTGTATTAACCTTGTACTATGTAAAAAGATTAGCTCTAATCTTAAGTTCTTTTTCTTTCTTTTGTCACAAGTGCAGCTTTATTTAATATTTGTCGATCTTTTGACAGCCCTTCATTCCACAGGCTACTTGGTAATTTGAACTTAGATATTTTTTTTTCCGATGGAGAAAAATGTAATATTGTTTAGTGTTCGATAGATTGGTACTTGAGAATTAGTCAGGTATGAGAGATGTTTTTTATTTTATTTATTTTTTTTGGGGGGGGGAAAGCAAGCTAACTTCTCTTGAAGCCAAAATGGAAAAGATGCTGTTTTCCCCTGTTGTTTATTAGAATAATGAGACATTTTGACGCTTAAGGTTGGTGTTTTTTGTTGTTGTTTCTCGTAATAAAGAATGATCGATCCCTAATGCAAAGGGAATAAATTACCAATCAAATTACTGAAGACAAAAATCCGCAGTTCCATACATCATTAAAATGACGAAGAAGCAATTGGTTATCAACTAAAACCAAAAAAGTGGAAGGGAGGTGAAAATGAGAATTAGAATAAAAAGAAAAGAAAAAAGTTAATTCTAATTTTTCTAACCTTGCCGTTTTTCTTTTTTTCCTTCTTTCCGAATGTAATTGCTCCTTTTTTTTTTCCTTATTCAGTTTTTGTTTTCGTCTCTGTTGGCCTTTTCTTACCCCCACATTTTTGTCAGAAACGGAATTTTCTTTCGTTTCTGTCATTGGTTCTCTTTCCCTTTTCTAGTTGCTTCCGTTCCTGGCACTCGCTTATTGTTGCTCTTAACTTTGTCCTCGCTTGACTCCCCTCTTTTCTTGTTTGTTCTTTTCAACCTTGCCGCAGCTCCCTCTCGGCCCACTCCTCGGGTCGCCTCCTTCCTTTTTTTTTTTTTTTTGCCTGTTCCATTTACTCTTGTCACTTCTTCCTCTGTTGCCCTTCTCGTTTCTTGCCTTTTCCTTTTCCAGCCGTTGCTTCTTCCTCTTGTTTCTGTCCTCTGTTTTCCTTGCCTATTCTTATCGGTTCCGATCTCTGCTCTCGTTTCTTGCTCCTGACGCTGTCCTCAGCTGACCATTAGTTGTCTTGTCAGTTGCGTTACCGGTTGTCTCCTCTTCTTCTTTCACCTCCTCTTCCTTGTCGCTTCTTTTCCTTCCTCTTCCTTGTCGCTTCTTTTCCTTCCTCTTCCTTGTCGTCGTCTCTTCTTTCTCCTCCTCCTCTCCTCTTCTTTCTCCTCCTCCTCTCCTCTTCTTTCTCCTCTGCCTCCTCCTCGTCGTCTCCTCTTCTTTCTCCTCCTCCTCCTCCTCCTCCTCGTCGTCTCCTCTTCTTTCACCTCCTCTTCCTCCTTGTCTCCTCTTCTTTCTCCTCCTCCTCGTCGTCGTCTCTTCTTCTTTCTCCTCCTCCTCCTCGTCGTCGTCGTCTCTTCTTCTTTCTCCCCCTCCTCCTCCTCGCCGTCTCTTCTTCTTTCTCCTCCTCGTCGTCGTCTCTTCTTCTTTCTTCTCCTCCTCCTCGTCGTCTCTTCTTCTCGTCGTCTCTTCTTCTTTCTTCTCCTCCTCGTCGTCTCTTCTTCTTTCTTCTCCTCCTCCTCCTCCTCGTCGTCTCTTCTTCTTTCTCCTCCTCCTCCTCCTCCTCGTCTCTTCTTCTTTCTCCTCCTCCTCCTCCTCGTCGTCTCTTCTTCTTTCTTCTCCTCCTCCTCGTCGTCTCTTCTTCTTTCTTCTCCTCCTCCTCCTCCCTTCTTCTTTCTTCCCCCCTCCTCCTCCTCGTCGTCTCTTCTTCTTTCTTCTCCTCCTCCTCGTCGTCTCTTCTTCTTTCTTCTCCTCCTCCTCCTCCTCGCCGTCTCTTCTTCTTTCTCCTCCTCCTCGTCGTCTCTTCTTCTTTCTCCTCCTCCTCCTCCTCCTCGTCTCTCTTCTCCTCCTCCTCCTCGTCTCTTCTTCTTTCTCCTCCTCCTCCTCCTCCTCGTCTCTTCTTCTTTCTTCTCCTCCTCCTCCTCCTCCTCCTCCTCGCCGTCTCTTCTTCTTTCTCCTCCTCCTCGTCGTCTCTTCTTCTTTCTTCTCCTCCTCCTCGTCGTCTCTTCTTCTTTCTTCTCCTCCTCCTCGTCGTCTCTTCTTCTTTCTTCTCCTCCTCGTCGTCGTCTCTTCTTCTTTCTCCTTCTCCTCCTCCTCCTCGTCGTCTCTTCTTCTTTCTCCTCCTCCTCCTCGTCGTCGTCGTCGTCTCTTCTTCTTTCTTCTCCTCCTCCTCCTCCTCGTCGTCGTCGTCTCTTCTTCTCAAAATATTCCATTATACACCTGGACATCTACTATGTTGTTTTTCGACATCCAAACGTAGTCCGCCAGCTCACTACTATAACTACGGTTCAGTATTCTAGAAGAAGCATGGTTGTTTCTTGAAAGTCCCTTCAGTGCATCTAATATAAACTTTCTTTTAGCCATTGTCATCCTTCACCTCGGCTTGGTAAATCACACCTTCTGTGCAGCAGGACCCCTTCAAGGGACATTTATTTTTGTTTCTACAGTTACATAACTTATTGTCTTCACTGCGTTTTTTTATATTCATGTATAAATTCCTCGCATTTTGCTTTTTTTTATTATATTACTTAAATTGCCAGTACAACTCAACTTTTCATGTGTTGCTGTTAAAAATCCTTGACAATTCAGAGGATTTAGGGAAATGTTTCCTTAACATGCCCCCAAAATATTTTCCTATTTTTGTTTTTACCTGCAGCTTAAAGGGGTGGTTGAACTACATGACTTTTTCTTTTTCTAGCCCCGTTGTTCTTCAGTTGTTGATTGAACTGGAATTCAAATATCAACTGGGCAATATACCCCTCATCCTTCAATGCTGCGACATATTCTTTCTTCTTTTCCTTTCTTTTGTCGAGGAATTCCTTGATATTCTGCACTTGACTCCCCTTGGAATGTGTCTAATTACACTCGCCGGGTGATTGGGCTTCGTATTCACATATTTCAACACATATTTTAATCTTATTCATTTTAATTTAATTTAAAGTAAAATTAATATGATTATCCACATTGATAGCTACGGCATTTACAGGTGCAATGGACTAATTCTAGTACCAGATAATAAAAGAACTATGCCATCAGAATTTTTTTTAAAACTCTTTAAAGAATTTTATTTGGAAATCACTGTTGAAATGATCATGACAGGTGTTCAATATTTGGATATTAAATTTAACTTATCGTCTGCTACGGCTCCACATATAGGAAGCCCAACACTGTGTTGAAATATATGGATAAAGATAATCCATCATCAACGGACTAGTAGGGGGTGGGGAATGGGTGCTCCGTTAAAGCCGATTGTCCGTACATAGGGAAGGATTCTATTTAAGTTATAAAATCACTATGTTAACTACCAGTAGTTATGATCGTAATGTACTATAGACATGTCTAGATGGCATAAATAAATATATACGTAATAGATATATTAATCAAAATAGATTTCTCACAGCCACTTTCTCACGCACGCGCTAATGTATCGTACTGTATATACTGTACACCCGTTTTTGTTTACAATTGAAAGGCAAGCCGCCGCCAAGCGGTCAATTTGGGAACTAATACGGCTAAGCCCACAAATTTTGTAATAAACCGCTGACGATTTGGTAGTTTGTTTGTTTTTTTTTTCCTGCATAACGTTTTTATTTTGCCTACAGATTTTGTCCGTTGCATTTGAAGTTCGTTCACGGGGAGTCCGTAGATGAGAGGTTTGTCTGTATGAAGTCCAAATACCCAGTAAGTGTAATTAGGCACATTCCAAGGGAAGTTGAGTGCAGAATAACAAGGAATTTCTCGACAAATAAATTCCTCAGAAATAAATCATATCATTTCTGATGTTGTGCTTTCGCAACATGCTTAATTAACATGACGCACATGTGCGTCTTGTGTCACTATTTATATTGCCTCTGAGGTACTTGTGCGTCCATTCCGGGGTTTTATTGAAAGAATTATGACGTACTACGGTAATGCATTAGACACCAATGTTCCTTTGTGTTGACGTTCAGTGTGTTCCTCCCACGTTTCGGTAGACACCGGTAATTACACCGCTCACTCTAGCGGTAGGCTCGAAGCTAGCGTCCAGCTTCCTGACAAAAATAAACAGAGTCGTAACTTAATACGAAACTCTATAACAGTGCACGTTACCACGGTCCCAGCTGCACTGTCAGCCAATGTCCCAGACCGGTTTTATTGACCAAAAACACGGCCAACGCACCAATCATCGCCGTTGGCTTCGTTATCAATCAGTCCCCAGCTCAACCAATCAGCATGCAGACCGCTACTAGACACATCGTGCCAAGCAGCATAAAATAAACAAATGTTGGAAAATGTAGTTTTCTTGGACCAAACTTGCGAGAGGAAAGGATGTAGCTGACGAACTGTCTGGCTTGGTTTTATGCACATATTCATCATAAAACAGAAGCCCGACAAGTAAAACATCTTGGACGCTTCGAATCCGGTAAGTGCAAATATGTATCATCACACTTTGCAGCTCTCAACAAAGAAGATATTATCTTTTTTTATGATTTTTAGATTCGAATAATGGAAACGATTTCATCAGACTGTTTTTACCAGAACCACACTAATTCATCCACTCATTCAATTATACCAAATCACCAAGATAAATGCTCACGTAGACAAAAGATAAAAATGAAATGCAATATTTCTGCAAGTAATTTCTCATTCTCAGACAGTAATTTACCAAAATAAAAACTGAGTCGTCGAACATATAATTTCTAATGGCAACTCGGGGAAAAACTCTCATAAATTGCATTATAGAAAGGTTAAAATATCTAAGGTAGGAGTAGAATTTACTTTGCTTTATTTTATTAACGATTTACAAGTTGTGTTTCATGTCAATTTCTAATGGTAATTATAACAAAACATAGATGATATGATGTTAGGGTGCAAACAGACTTAACCTCATCTCGACAGTGAAGCTTCTTGGTATTTCTTTTACTTTGTATGATCCATCCAACTTATCAATATGCGACATAAGCAGCCATTCATCCATGACCCCGAATAAATATATGAATATTACCTGTGTGCTGAATATTTCTAGTTCATCAAAATAATTTTCAAAATCATACTGATTTAACAAACATTAGATGACACCTCTTCTTCCCCACCAGCTATAGGTAAATAGCAGGAAAGACCAGGTTCTATAGCCTTCGATAGCAACTGGTCTACCGCAGAAAGAAATGGCAACCTACAGTGAAGGAAAAGCTGCCTTGTCAGTCATATATCGAAAGATAAATGATCGCCAAATCTGCCTTGTCAGTCACGTATCGAAAGATAAATGATCGCCTAAGCGTGTCTAACGTATGGAACATACCTGACTGAAGTTTTTTGGGTTTTTTTTGCTGCTAGGGGCTTCTTGATTGAGGTGACAATTTTTTAACATTCTCTTGGAATATGAAGATTTGGGTGTGTGCATTTGTTCATTCCTTTGCTAAGAGAATATATATATACGCAGTGTAAATTCAGTATGTTTGCTTACTATTTCAGATTGTACTGGCGTTTTGACCCGACGTGATTACACCACTTTTTTTAATACTAAGCTTAGGTTACTGTGGCGCAAAGTCACCTCTGTCAGACGCCTAGCAATTATATAACTAAAAAAGGTACTAATGATCGATAAGATTTTTCTCTTTCGTTTGTTGTAAGAAAGGCCCCATCGGAACCTAGAGAGTTCCACTTGCTTAATGGTTTGTGAGGTACAGGAATACCTCGATAATTATAAAAAAAAACAAGACAAAACAAAAAAACAACAATTTTCATTTACTGTGGTTAAACTGAAGAATGCATGATGTTTGGATGCAAACAAGATTAACTCTTACTCCATAATTTAGCCTTGCCTTGAAAAAGGTCGTTTTCGGAGCATTTAGCCTTGCCTTGAAAAAGGTCGTTTTCGGAGCAGTTCCTCAAGGAAACTCGTTATCTGGGCTTTGTTCCTCAAAACGTTTAATATATATCTTCTAGTGTGTGCGTAAAAATACTGTTATGTAGAATAAAGTGTCGCTGCCGACACTTTAGTTCGAACATAGAACGCAAATAGCCTGTTCAAATGTCAAACTCTCTGCCTTGGCACAGAGGAACACGAACGAGGCTTTGGCGGGGAGGTAGACAGGCCCTGAACCCATTTATACGTGTTCTAAGGGAATATTTTGGCCGAACCTATGGGCTCGGAGAACCCACGGTAAACTCGGCCTTGTGCCACATACATCCCTTGTGGGTGGGGGTGCTGTTCAAATGAGCAAACACAGGCGATCCCATTATTGAATTAAGTAGACCACGTGACTATAAAGGAGTCGCATATATGTAGGAAGGAGATGACGACTAATGATCGTTATTTCTAACCTATCCTCTATTACTATACGGATCACCATTTCAAGTCTATCCTCTATTATACGGATCACTATTCTCTATTCCCTATTCTATTTCTCTATTTGGATTATTTTCAAGCGAATATTATCGAGCAAGTACTATGAGTGCGAGTGATATTTGAAGGCGTCTGATACCACTATTGTTCAACGGCGTTACTATAGTTGTATCTGCGATTACAAAGTCTCTACTACTACGAGCATTACGAAAGTGACAACGAGTATTCATTGGCATTGCAAAAGTGGCAACGAGTGTTCGTTGACATCACAAAAAATACCTAGAGGCGACAGTCTGTTTTATGCTTGAACTCAACCATCAGATTAAGCAGGAAAACTTGTCGGCGCTCTGTTTTGGCCTGGGTGTCCACTTTTATATCTACGCATGCACTCTGATATTGCGCACTTTTGCCCTTAACTATAGTTTACCTTAAAACTATATTTTTGCATTATATATATATATATATATATATATATGAGAGGAGTGTTCATGCTATTCTCAAAAGTATTTCAGCATAAGTGAAAATAACCAAACCGAGTAGCAATCGAAGTCAGCTTGCCGTGTTCTCATTCTGTGCCGTTATCCATCCCACCACTCGCACCATCCAAACTTACAATGTCTGGTATTTTCGAGCTGTCATCCATCTCGAGACTTAACAGGCTCAACGTTGCTTAACTTTGGTGATCGGCTGAGAAACGTTGTTTAAATGTGATACGACCGATAGCCTTATGGTAACTAAGAAAGGCCAAATTATTTTCCCAATGTATTAATAGTCATGCGTGCATTCAGAAAACAAACCAGGAATTGAAATTGCCTGAAACGTGATTAGGCATGAGCGACACCGGAAGTGGTTTATAGTTTATGTATAATGGTGCTGGAAAACCAATATTCTTGAAATTAGGAAGCTTTTCTGCAAATACCAAAATATTGGCCACCCAATAAACATCACTCGGATCTAATCTTCGGTCTATGTAATTTGATAGACGTGACACTGTGGGTTGCAAGGACAGGTATTTTTTGTGCTGGGGACTTGAAGAGAATCTTTTCGTTATTATCGAAGACAAGCCATTGATTCGTTGGGACCACTCTCTCGCACACACATAATTTCAACTATTCTACACTAGTTATCTCTCTCTCTTTATATATATATATATATATATATATATATATATATGCATGTTTCGTTAAAAACGACAGACAAGGTACTACAGTTGAGCTTTTTATTTAATTTTTCTTGTGTTCTGACAAGAGCTTTCTTTTCTGGACGAAGAGTGTGTAAGAACTGTCCGAATGTTCTGTGTTTCCGAGCGCTTAAATTAAATAAAAAGCTCAACTGTAGTACCTTGTCTGTCGTTTTTAACGAAACATGCATAAAGGAAGGATTGCTGCCTAAATATACAAATATAAAATTACACGACCCGGCAGCCAACAAGGAAAATAACACCACTACATTCAGGAAAAACCTCGTCTTACGACAAATAAAATTAGCTCAAAATGAAATCCAACATTTAAACAAAGAAATACACAAACATAACACTACACTAAAAAACACTTTGACCGAACCTGAATATAATGAATCGCTGTACCACCTCAATCTTAGCATCAACCAGCACCAACTCACACACAGACAAATAATTACAAAAAAACTTTGTAAATTATATCAAGGAAATATTTTACTACCCAACAGTGAAGACAAATATTTAAATTTATCCAACCATAAATTAACAGTTGATCAGAAAGAATTTCTAAATTTAGGTCCAAACTGCCACATCCAACATAAGTTTGATTGTATCACCAAAACAACTGAAATTGAAATTCTATACCAATCACTATCCCAACTTTCCACGCGTGGTGACATAGCAGTACACCCTGACCTGAAAGACTTACTCAAAGCTGAGGGTTTGAAGAACCGATCCCCCGCCACTAACCATAGTAGTATTTTAACACCAAAACTAAAAAACGCTGCGAAAGATTTAAAAAACAACGCTGACATTGTCATCAGACGCGCCGATAAATCTAACACATATGTTATAGTCAACAAAGCTGATTACCAGCAAAAATTAAAAGATATCGTCGATGACCGATCTAAATTCACCAAATTGAAACGAAATCCCACTGAGAATTTAAAAAGGTCTGTTAACAAGCTAATAACAGCTCACAACGCGGAAGTCGATTCCCTGAAAATTCAAAAAATAGTTGGAGATTACCAACCGGGATACCTATATGGAAACATAAAAACACATAAACCAGGATACCCGCTACGACCAATTATTTCCCAGATACCAACACCTATCTACGAGCTATCAAAATTCCTTAACGATATCATCACTCCATACCTACCTACCAATTACAGCATCACCTCCACCCACGAATTCCTACAAATTTTAAAAACTACAAATGGAACAAATCAAGGTATAATAGCGTCACTGGACGTTGAAAACTTATTCACAAACGTCACTGTTGACAAAACTATCGATATTATCCTCAACTCTATATACAATAATAATTCCATCCCTCCGCCATCCATCAAACCACCTATCCTAAAAAAATTACTACACGCATGCACAACCAAAGTCCCCTTCTATGACCATAATGGCAATATTTATACCCAAACTAATGGTGTTAGTATGGGAAATCCATTGGGTCCATGCTTCTCTAACTATTATATGTCCTACGTAGAAAATACCATATTTACACAGGTCCACAAACCGAAAATCTATGTTCGCTACGTAGATGATATATTCATTTTAGCTGATAACATTAAAGAAATAGAGACACTTAAGACCACATTTGAGAAAAACTCCGTCCTTAATTTTACATATGAACTTAGCCAAAAAAACAAACTACCATTCTTAGATATCCTCGTTGAACATAACAATAACACTTTCATTACATCATTATACAAAAAACCCACCAGCAAAAACTCGTGCCACCTTAATTTCAAAAGTGAATGTCCACTTAGGTACAAAATAGCTGTAGTAAAAAACTTTCTAAATAGAGCCCACCAGAACTCATCCTCTCGACTACTCTTTCTCAAAGAACTTAACAACGTTAAACAAACACTAATAAACAACGGTTTCCCTAACTACCTTATAGACTAACAAATTAGAATATTCCTCCCCAAAGCAAGTAATAATGATAGCGAACACACAACTAAAAATCACATACACATTTATTACAAAAACCAAATGCATATTAATTACAAGCAAGATGAATCTGCTCTAAGACATATTATAAAGAAATATACTACTCCTATTGACCCGGATAAAAAAATCAAACTTATTATCTATTATAAAAAAAATTTAAGACGGCCAACCTTATCCTCAAAAATAACAACACACCAACGAAGTCAAAATTACAAAGAACGAACATTATCTATGAGTTCAAATGCCCTTTAAGGAACTGCGTTCCTCACCAAACCGGACTCATAAATAATTACATCGGCTACACAACCACATGTTTATCCAGACGTCTTACATTACACCTATCTGATCACAGTTCCATCAGAACACATTTAAACACACACTCAGATTTACCCGACACTATTAGGAACATACTAGTAGAAAACACTAATATATTAACTGCATCCACTTGCAAAAAAGACTAAAAATAATGGAAGCTCTAATAATAAAAAAGAAAAAAGCCAACTCTTAACAATATCAACTATGAACAAAGCCACAATGTGCTAACCGTATTCGGAAACTAAAACATCACTACCACACACTGAACATACATAGAACACACTCTACTAAGCTGATAATTGAACCATCCTTGATAATGGCTAAAGGTATAGCCGAAAGCGCTCGGAAAACACAGAACATTCGGACAGTTCTTACACACTCTTCGTCCAGAAAAGAAAGCTCTTGTCAGAACACAAGAAAAATTAAATAAAAAGCTCAACTGTAGTACCTTGTCTGTCGTTTTTAACGAAACATGCATAAAGGAAGGATTGCTGCCTAAATATACAAATATATATATATATATATATATATATATATATAAGTTCTATACTCTTCTGAAGAAAGAATTTGATTGTAAAACATAAGTTACACCACTGATATCTAAAAATGACAATGAACTGCTTACTAGCGTGACTGACATCACTAAATGCTGCAAGCACATTTCTTGGAATTTCTTAATAGACAGTCAAGTAGATCTTAGTTCCCTTGACACTGTAGAACAGCGAACTGTAGTGGAAGCAATAAATAAGCCCCCGTCACTGGAGTCGATCGAAGTATCTATCTCTACGTTGAACATTGGTAAGGTATCAAGTATGGACGGACTGCTTTCTGGAATATTTTTTGATACAGTAGAGACCATATAGTCTAAATCATGTATCAAATTATTGTTAACATCAGGCACGAAGCTGCTGTCTCCAGGGATTGGAGAGATGGTATCCTCATTCCCTTTTATAAGCGAGAAGATGCAAAGGAATTATGGGATCATTTCCGTGGTAATACGCTGCTGTCTTCTTCCGGTAAGATCCTTGTAGGTATCATGTCCTTATGGCTAAACACATATATCGTGTTGGTGGACACTATTTTCCAGAATCCCAATGTGGATTCCGACCTAAAAAAAAAGAACGAAGGATATATGTTCATCGCTCGCTAGCTGCAAGAAAAGTCGTATGAACAAGATCTCTTCCAAGTTTATGTAGATCTGACGAAAGCATTCGGTATTGTAAACAGGGAGATTCTGTTGCGTCGACTTGTTTGCCGAAACCACTTTGTAAATGTTCTTACGTTCTTTCACGATGAGATGAAAGCCACGGTTAATGATGGCCGTCTACTTTTGGGTCATTTAAGATGACCAAAGGTGGGAAACAAGGCTGACTTATTTGCATCTACGCTGTTCTCAATCTTCTTTTCTGTGATTTCATTTAAAGCATTCGCAGGTTGTCTACGCGGAATCCACATTCGATATCGCACTTCTGGTAGACTATTTAATTTTCGACGTCTGTCAGATATCACGAAAATCTTTCAAACGTTGTCTAAGAATCTCCTGCACGCTGACGACTGTGATTTAGTATCTCATAACAAAGAACAAATGCATATATTGATGGATAGTGTGGTGAACAGCCCCGTAGAAGAAAGCGAGCCAGGGTGGCTTGCACCTGGTGTATAGGAAAATAAGGGTCTTGCCTTAAGGTGCGGCACGTGACATCAGCAAGTTTGCTTCGTGAAAATGGCATTACCCTCCCGTCCAGCCATTCTAGCAGTATGTGCAGTGATGAGGGTTTTTGTACAGTTTGGCATGCTTCCACCAATAGCAAGTCATGTGCTGATTGGTCGAACTGGAGGAGGCTATTTGCCTGTGTAACTGAGAATAACAGCGAAGAACGCTGATTGGCTGGTGAACTGCGGTGTTGGCCTGATAAAAGGGGGCTGAAGCAGTGAAAAAGTGGGGGAGAAACGTCGGCTATACGTAGTGACGCGTGAAGAAAGCGAGGACAGTGAATTGAACCAGCGATATTTTGATTTGTACAAATGACGTTGCTGCAATACAGACGTATTTAAGCTACAGATAGACACTCTCAAACTTTCTTTTTAACCCTGTAAGCCTCGATAAAACTGTCGTCTTGTTCGAATAGGCAGCAGGTCAACCTTATATTGAACCTTCAATATATGTGTATGGCCAGAGACTGCAGGTTGAAGACATATCCACTTACCTAGTCGGTACCATTATCAGGCAATATATCCTCGATGATGAAATAACAACTCAAGTATTGAAGGCTACTCTAGACTTCACTGCTCTTAAAGATCTGTTATGGAACCGTCGAGGTTTGAAACTGGCCACCAAGGTATCGGTTTATAACGGGTGTCTTTTTACTTGCCTCTGAAACATGGGTTGCATACAGAAGACAGCTCGTTACACTCGAACCCAATGTCTAAGATTCATCCTGGACATAAACTGGCTGTCTTATACACATGACAAAACCATCTTTCAAAGAGAATCGTCTGCCAGCACTAAGGCCCTAATTCATCGCCACCGTCATCGATGCATAGGTCACTTTATTCATTTGGAGGATTCTTGAATTCCCAAGCAAATGCTTCACAGCGACCTAGTTCAAGGAATGCGTGTAAAGCACAGATCTATCAAAAGATTCAAGGACTGTGTAAAGGACATTTATATGTAGTTGTATATGTTCCTCTGCGGAAAGCCAAATGTGGAAGACTACGGAATGTTAAGCGCAGATGTGATCTTTCTTGTCTAAATTTGTCTCAATTACTGCGCACAAAAACTATTTACGTAGACACGCTCAGTTTGCGCAATGAACCCTACCCTGATAGCTATTCTGCAGCGAATGTATGCAAGCAACGCCAGTAATGGCTGCTCGCGACGCAAATGAATCCGAACTTTTACTGTCGATAACTACAAAACGGTAAATTTTATCAAATTTATCAAGCCAGATTCGAATGGAGCATGTACAACTACATATAAATGTAAGTATTCTGGAATTTTTTAATGCGAACTAAGCGCGGGTGTTACACTGAAAATTAACCGAGGGCTGTTTATAGTGGTAGTGAGTGGTTCCCCGAGAGATCAGTTGAATGGGCACAGATAAAAAGATCTCCGGGAAAGGGGAATTAGTCGATCGTGTGTTTAATCAGTAGCCATGTGATCAGTGCGGACTAGTTTGCTTATCTATGGTGGGTTAGTTTAGCATGGTAGGTGTCACCTAGATCGAGCACCTGCCAACTATAGGGAATTCATCCAGCTCGTTAACTTGAGTTGTGCTGTATGCCAGAAGGTATGCCAAAGTCGATCAGGGTTGACCCGGCACATTAAAGCAATGCATCAACATCAGGAACAGCAACAGCAGATGCACCGGCAGCAATTCCCAATCTTACAAACCGATCAAACTGCTTACATTTCCCGTTTCTGTCAAAAGCATTGCAAGTCCCTCGCTAGCTTTGAAAGCCATTGCCGGTTAAACTAAGAGACGATAATACAAAAATAGCATAACACCAAAAAGAAGACATAAATAAAAGGAAAGAGAAAATAGTCAGCGATGGTCATGCTCGCATGACGAAACTGACATATATATATATATATATATATAAAACCACCTTTTACTACTGTTCCCTATTGAAAGAATATGATAAATCAATAACTCTTACAAAGAGCTCCATGGTTGCATTTAAACATTTTATAACATCAAACAGGTAAGAAAATAATTTCAAAAAATGAATTAAACTCAAAAGTACTATCATTTCATTAGATTTTAAATTAATTTCTTTTTTATACTTCTAAATTAATATAAGAAAAATAAAATTAATTCTAACTTTAATAAAAGTATTTAGAATAAAAATATACTTATTGGTTAGAAAATCAATTTTAAAAAAATAAATACCAATTTCTTGATTATGGCATTGCTGGTGTTCCGTATTTCTTTATTTTTTTTTTTTTTAATTTTTCGCGCGTTTTTTTAAGTAAAGGGCGAAATGACAGTTTCTTTTTAACGTATGACATCACAGGCTACTGTGCGTAAACATTATTTTCAATGTTTTAAGTAAAAAAAGCATTAGGAAAAATCAGTATTTCCACCTTGCATACATTTATTTATATATATTTATTCATTTATATATTTACTTATATTTATACATTTATACATTTATTTATATATAGCGGGGTTTGTGATTCTGAGTTACGACAATATTAATTTTAGTTTTAACGTAGGTACCTCCACGAAATCGCTAAAAAAAGAGCATAGCTTGATGAAAAAGACGCCAAACTTGCCGAAAACTAAATTTTATTGTCTAAATGCTTATGATACTATTAAGAGGAAAGACCAAAGTTTTTTTTTAATTATTTTTAAAAAATTTCCTTCTTTTTAGAACATTCTAAATTTTGATTAAAAAACCTTTTTCTATTTGTATCAGCGGAACTAGTAAATAACATAGACAATTTTTAGCACGTTTTTTGGTATGACACACATTAATTTGAAAAATCGTGCAAAATAGAAATAATTATCGGATGTTAATGAAACTTTCAGAAACTATTCACAGATGATCGAAATTATTATAAATATGTTTTTTTATGAAAGTCATGGTAGAAATATTTTTTTTTTTAAATATTTATTACCCCCCATAACTAATTTTATGAAAACGCTAGAAATTCGATCGCATCGGTTTTAGTGATTACAATAATTAAAAAGCACAGGGCTTTGAGGAATGCAAATCATTTTTTTTTTTTTTTTTTAATTGGATATGCAGTACCTGAAAATCAGCTCTGAATTGTAACATACAAAACTCAATAAAACAAAGATATTATTTAATTTCAAATGCTTTTATTTGCTTTTAGTTGTTTTTTATGAATATGGACAATATTTTCTGAAAGCAAAAAATTTTTTCAATGAAAATGAATTTTTAATACAATTATTTGTTATTTCATTAATTATAATAGATTTTACATTTAAGTTGTTAAAATATTATAAAATTAGTTAAAAGCCGCATCGGCTTTCATAAGTGTCCTTATGAGATAGATCTTTTTTTAGCGCGTTGTAAATTGTATCATTTTGACTAATCAGAAGATACCCAGTAATTAAGAAATGTAATTTTGTGCTTATAATCGAGCTGTAATTATAAAATACGGAAGACCAACCAGAATATAATTAAGTTGCGTTATTTGAGTTAAGCATTGTTCTCCGCTGTTAAGGCCTTTACTTTTGCGAAACACGTGTGGAGAAGTTAATTTGATTTTTCAATTTCAACTGAGAAGATTACCTACAAGTATCAGTATCATCTTATGAAATTTATATGATCTTATTTTTATATTAATCTCAGTTACGACATTTTTCCATAAATGAAATATCAAAATTAATAATAAAATGAATGCAAATACAAATAACAGTAGAATGTAATAAATGTACATAAAATTATAGTATTTTATGTACAATTCTGATAAAATTTCATAAGAAAGGTACCTATAAATTAATTAGATACCTTTCTTAAGAAATATGAAATTTAATGTCACTCTTAACAGTTTTATTTTAATTTCTTTACAATATATTTCCCATAAAGCATCATAAATGTAAAGGTGAAAGCTAAGTACAAAAAAAAAAAAAAAAACATTAGACCGCTGAAAGTTTTCGTTAAAAATAACGGGGTAAATAATTTGTTCACGTAAATGTAAATTATTTCACTTTTCTCCTTCCGTAGAACAAATTAGCCTCATGGAATTCGTAAATATATCATTCATCACATGTCAAGAGACGCGAAAGTTTATGACCTGCTTTGTTTTATTTTCAAATTACATC